CCGGGGGTTGCGGCATTCCTGGGACAGCCTTGGGAGGGACCAGGCAGGGTGTCCATTCATGGAGAGTCTGTAATTTGGGTTACTGCCTGCCCTTGTGCTCCTGTGCTCCTCTAGGCTTGAGGAGATGGGCTTTTAATGGGCTGGTGGCTCCTGTGATGGGCCTGGGAGTAGCTGGGCATATTCTTTGGACTGTCCCCCAACCATTGTCTCTCTATGGTCCTTTGTGGGTGTGCAGATGAGCTTTTATCATATAACCTAACAATCTCTCTCTTAAAAATAGTCTTCCGTAAGCAGCAGAGACTGTTGAAGTTCATTTCTTATGAAGGTTATGTCAAATGTTTTCTCAGCTTGCTCTTAGAAAATAAATTTTGTCTATGTACCATCGCTTACAAAAAGAATAATCTTCCTAGTACATTTGGTCACAATTGAAAAAGAGGTTGTTTATGTTGTTGGGTCATATTTACCCCTCCTTCGCACCATTTAACGCCAATTTTGACTCACACTTTTGGAAATATCTTTTTAAATAATGGTGGCTCTTTTGCTTCATAACAGTTCTAGGTCAACGTGCCTAAAAAATGCTTTGAGTTGTGTATTCATTTCGCTGTTGAAAGTACTTTTTTGCTTATTTGAAGTTGTTAGATACATATTTCTGTCTGCCTATCTAAGCAAAGAGGAGAGAGTAGCTTCACGGGGTACTTAGGAAATAAAATTCTACGCTGCTTCTGTCAGTGTAGTAGGTCAAGGAGGATTCCTATTGAAATAGCATGGGTTTAAGTTGTGTGGCAGGTTTGTTACTTTATCTTTGGCTGAGGAACTGCTCTGCATAGATTTAAGTGCCTTGAAATACAGTATTTTGCAAAGAATGTTTTCTTTTACATATATTTATATATAAATATACTTAAATCCCCAGCCTAGTGAATGATCCACAGTCATGAAGCACTGTTTTCAGGCATGTGACAAAAAAGGCTTGTTTCTAAAAATCTGCAAAAATATCAATAAAGATTTAAAGCATTGCTTATTAGAAAGCTGGTAAAATACCACCTCACCTGCAGGAGTAATTCAGTTATGATCTTTTTATCCAAAAATTTGTATTTTTTTGAGTTTGTTTTGAAAATAAGAAGAAACAGATAATATTTAGGAAGGTGCTGTCTGTTCAGTGAGAATAAGAACAAGTAAACGTTCATTTCCAGAAAAGTTTCTTATGAAACATGTTAAGTTTTGTAAGGGAGATGGGGGATAGTTTGAATTCACTGAAAATTATTTTTAGCTGTAACTCTCTGTTCAAGATCTTTTGATTCCGACATATTCTATGTAGGAACGTGTTTCATTGCATAACTAACAAAACTGAGATCTAAATTACAGAAATAAGATCATAACCTTTTTAAACAAAATAATTATCTTTTTTTTTTCTTAGAAGGAATACCTAGTAAGGGTCAAATACTGTCTTTGAGAAATCTTATTTTAACCAAGCTTTTCACACAGCTAGGATATTCAAAACATCTCTTTCCCATGTGACCTCACAGTGTATTTTTTTACTGTCAATGATGAAACTGATATAGTTGTTCTCCTCCTGCTGGGTTGCTTTCCTCTTCCTGTTTTTATTAAATGAGTAGGAACACCTTATCTTTGACACCCACCTCTTGCTTCTAGCGAATCGATTGCAATTGAGCAGAAAAAAAAATATTACTGACTGATATGATAGACAGATGGAAACAAACAGATGAAAAAGATCATGTATGTTAAACCTCTTATCTTCAGAAACCAGGCTAAAACCATCTGGTCTACCCAACTGATTCCCTTGAATATTCCTCCTAGGTCATGGATAAGTATGGTGAGTTCTATGGTCGTGACAGGATCAGTGAGTTACTAGGAATGGACAAAGCTGCTCTCGATTTTAGTGATGCTCGAGAAAAGAAGAAACCAAAGAAGGATAGCTCCTTATCTGCTGTGTAAGCATTTGCTTCTGGTTTGTTTGTGTGATTATTTTGTTTGTTTGTTGGTGTTTTGTTTGTTTGTTTCGGGGTTTTTTTAAGTTAAAATCAACCATTGAAGGTTTATTATTCAGTTTTGAATTTTTTTGTTGCTTTTTTATGATAGCTTTATAGCTCTATAAGATAAATAAATTCTTAAGTTGAATGATATAGTGAATTTATTTTATTATAGACAACATATATGCAGGATTCCACTTATTTATGTATGAAGATCTAGCTTAGTGTGCAACTGCTTGAATGCATCACATTCCCACAGTTTTGATAGTGTCAGTACAACTGGGCTTGGAAACTCCTTTTCATAGTTGTCTCTCAGTTCACAGTTCAGCTCAGCTGGAAAGAAAGGGCAAAATCGGCCTTGTGTGTTCTGATTATAAAGAAATGATGGAATAAATTTAAGTGATAGTGACCAGTAAAGTCTAGGAAGTTGGATGATTAGTCTTCACATCTTTCTATAATTTGTTTTCCCGAACCTGTGTATTTGCCTGTCATCTGAGAGACAGTCCTGAAAAAGATCCCTTAGACATTCAGTGTAATTGCATTAATTTTCCTTCTTAGGGAAGGGACATCCTCAGTTTTTGTAAAACACTGCAAAAATGTTTTTTCCAGTTTTGCGTTACAAAAAAAGATACTCAAATAGATAGAATATGTTTTAACGAATGGACTGTTAATGCTACAGAGATTCTAATGTAAGAGTTTGTCTACAGCTTTCTTTAAAAACATTATTTCATCAATGGATTTGCCAGGATTATATGAAGTAGACGGTGGGACCCCTAGTAGATTTGGAATTGCATTGAAGCAGGGGCTGACTTTGTAAAGATGGTTCTTTAATACCCATATACATCTTCTCTAAAGATGGATAAATAAACCTGGAGTCCATCTAAAAAATCAGTCAGCAGGCCCAAGGACTCTGTGGCATTACAATACCAAATAAAACTTAACATTGTGGCAGGAGTACTTTCCAGAATACTTTCTTACCTACTGTTTTGCTGCTGGATTATAGTAGGACCCACACTTGAGTTTAGAAAAAAAATAATCATCTTTATTACTTATTGGTATAACAAGAAAATGAAACTACTTTCCTTTCCCTGTGTGCTCATGACTCATATCTGGGAACAAATTTGAAATAATGTTTCTGTGAATACTCTTGAAAAAACAGGTCAGAACGAAGCAGTTGGAGAAGGCTGATGAAATACTTAATTCTGGAATCAGACCTGAATGATGACAGGTTTTTTTGTTACATCTCTAACATCTACTCAGTGTTATATAAGTTAAAAAAGAACTAAATTACAACCTCATCCATCCTTCATGTTCACCCTGGATAAATCATTCTGTGCTTATAACAGATGAATATGCTGTGGGAAGATAAACAACCATTCACATAAAATTCATGTGCTTCGGAAGGTACATGTATGCACTTTTTACCAGTTTCAAAAATGAACACTAATAAAGCTACTAAAACAGGCATATTCCAGATTCAACATCTGAAATATATTTACAGTGCAATGAAGAGAGAGGTGGGAAAAGCAGTGGAGTTGAACACTTACTGCACCACTTTTAGGCAAAAAAATGGAGAATGGTATGACGTAGTGCAGATCCCAGCTCCAGCGCCTCTGCTTCTGCATGTGCCAGCAGGAGGTGGCCCAGACGGAGGCCAGGCCAGATACTTATGTGTCTCAGCACAGAAGGGAAATGCAGCATGTAGCATTTCCATTCCCAATACAAATGGATCAGGTTTTTCTTCTGTCTCCTTGACCCCTAGTTCCTCCTGTTTCTTCCCCTTTCCTGTGAGCAAATAACCTGGGATTCCCTTCCATCTGTCTTTCTGCAAGGGACTCGGAGCACTCTACATGGAAGTGACCGTGCCCCTTCAGAAGCTCCTGCCTATCCCACTGATACACTGCATTAAAAAATTCTCAGTGCACTGTTACATTTTAACTCTGGAAGAGCCATTCAGCTTGTGGATGCACTCTTGAGTGTTTTTTATGGGTATATATATTTAAATTTTAAAATATGTCAGTAAATATTTAAATAATTATTTAAATACATTGTGGTATTATGTAAATATAACCGGCTAAGGAGGATGATGCAGTTGGAGCTTTGCTGTAGATTAGACGGTAAAGATAGTTAAAATTTGCACAATGGGATTGAGACAGTGCACTGTTTTCCCATTGAATACGTTTCCCTTCTGGGGTGGATGGTGTTAAACTAGCTGCAGCATAGATGAAATATATTTGAGAGAATAATATGAAAGACACCAAGATGAAAGTTATTTGTCAGAGGTGTCATAGTGAGGATTACTTTTCAGTCCCTTTTGCCTTCCTAACTGCTGTTTGTTCTATGGTCATTAGTCTAGTCAGAGTCAATAGAAGAGGCAGCTGAGGCTCAAGCATCTGCAGCAATCAGTGACATAAGGCTAATTTGGGGCAAAATAAACAGGGCTTCTGTTGAATGCTCATGTGGTAGATTAATTCTTCCCCTTTCAAGAAGAGAAAAATGTAAATAATTTTCTCATGGAAGATGTGAAGTTTTCATACTTTGATGAGAAGATAAACTATATCATAAATGTAAAATGTACAAAGAATGTATGCATTATACATAGGATGTATAAAAATTTATCCATAAATATATAAAAATGTCCAGTTGGCCTCAGAATGTGAAAGGGGTTAAAAGGTCTTATTCTTCCTTGTCATGAGAAACAATAATTTAGGTTCTCAAAAGATTCAAAACATCCAGACACAGCTGGTGAGTGAGCCCACCAGGGGAGGTGCCTTGCTGGACCTGCTGTTTACAAACAGAGAAGGACTGGTGAGAGATGTGGTGGTCGGAGGCCGTCTTGGGCTTAGCGACCACGACATGATAGAATTCTCAGTTGTGAGGGAAGTAAGGAGAGGGGTCAGCAAAACTGCTTCATGGACTTCCGGAGGGCAGACTTTGGCCTGTTCAGGTCACTGGTTGAGAGAGTCCCTTGGGAGACGGTCCTGAAGGACGAAGGGGAAGGCTGGAGAGTCTTGAAGAAGGAAATCTTAAAGGCACAG